CAAATGCAGTTCTCAACTACTCACTTCCCCTCCACCCTTGCTGCCTCTGTATGAGAGCAGTGCTGCCTGCCCCTCCCACCTATCAGAGGCAGCAGAGGAAGATAGGGAAAGCTGCTACCAAGCAGCCCGTTTGCAATGGCCGCACACAGAGGCTGCTTTGGCACGTCCATTTAAAATGCAGAGCGGCAGCGCAGGTGTCTCCCAGAGCCAGCACCAGGCAGGTCTGCTCAGGCCCAACTCGAGCTGGCTTTGGGAGCTAACTCTGTTGCGGCTCTGCAGAGTGGTCCTTATTGACTCATCCTGTAGTCAATGCAAATTGTATCGACTACACAATTAGATAACTGGAATTTAACATCCTTAGTTGACATCCCTAGTGTGAACCATGCGTGACTGTCATTCTCCATGTGTCGGTACATGTAATGTGTGAGTGTCTGTGTGTGTGTGTGTGTTATGTGTATGGATGCTATCTGCAAAGGGGGGGAGGGGCTGCATGTCTGCCCTTGTAGTGTGTCATCATTGTGTGCGTGCGCACATATGCTGTGAGTTTGCCTGAGCGTTGTCTATCTGTGCGTGTTGGAGAGGGGGGAAATAATGTGTTACAAATGAGTATCTGTCTGTGTCCCCACACACACACACACACACACACACACACACAACACACACACACACACACACAGGAAGCTGGCCCCCTCTGTCAGTTGGGGCAATACACACACAGCTGACCAAGCACTGGATCACAGCCAAGCAGATAGCCATGAACACCACACGGCTGGGCTGGGCTTGCTCCCCCAACCAGAGCCTGAACTCCCCACCCCCACAAACCCCTGTTAACCGGGCAGGGAAAGGAACTCGGTCAAGGTCACCCAGCCACTCAGTCACAGGAGGAACCCAGAGCTCCTGATTCTCTAACCCACTAGGCCCTACTCCCCTCCCAGAGCTGGCACAGAACCCAGGAGTCCAGGCTCCCAGTCCCCTGCTCTATTCAGGGGGCCTCAGTGTCTCTCCGCAGTGCAGTGTCACCGTGGCTGTGCTGGAATAGCTCGACTGATGAAGAGGCACTTGCAGGCTTTTAGGTATTTAATAGCCTTGTGGGCACAGACTTCAAGTGACAGGGACCAGAGAGGATGGGCCCCAGGCCTGATAGAGGGTGGGCGGGGAAGGATCAAGGTGGATGGGCCCCTCAGCCTGGTGGTGGACAGCAGGTAGGGCAGAGGGGATCAAGGTGGACGAGCCCTTGGGCCTGGTGGCAGGCAGCAAGATGGTCAGGAGGTACCAGGCTGGATGGGCCTTTGGACCTGATCCAGTCCGACTGTCCCTAAATTCCTGTCTCCCTTCTCTGCCCATCACCACTGCAGCCCTCCCCCAGGCAAACACTCCTCTGCTCTCACCCGGCGAAACCCTCACTTGCCATTTCTAAGGAGGCAGCCCATTGCAGATGCTGGGGACCTCGGCTGGGCGGCAGGACCCTGGGTTCCAGCCCAAGCTCTGCCCTGACCTTGGACAAGCGTCTCCACTCGCTGCCTCCATTCCCCCTTCACCACCTTGTGTCTGTTTCGACTGTCAGCTCTGTGGGGCACGGTCTGTCAGGGCGCATGTGGGCAGCGTGATGGGGATCTCGCTCTCAGGCCCAGGGAGAAGGTCTATACCCACCGGCACTAGCAGAACACACTTCCCTTGCAGGGGTGTCGGGGAGAGTCTTTCACTCCATCACGGCGCAAAGCCCTGTTGGGTACTTTGTTCCCAAGCACCACACTCACCCTCTCTTTACAACTGGCCACTGCATTCCCAAAGCAGCTACCAACTTCGGGCTCGCTGGCCCGTTTCACCCCTTCGCAGTGACCACCAGGGGCACATGGGCTTGGGGAATGAGGAGGGACTAAGGCCAACCGGGTTCAATTCCTACATGTCATTACCTCAGGCCTCAGTTTCCCCATCTGTAAAACAGGGAATAATCATCCTTCATCTACTGAGAATATAAACTGTCCGGAGCAGGGCCTGGCTTTAGAGCTGCACTGACCATGGGCTACACTGGTGTAAAGCCCTCTGAGCAAATTACAGTCACTGAGCACTGGTGACAATGGCTGACCACGCTGCTGGGAGACACAAAGTCAGACACAAGGTGGGTTCCGCTGTACCTTTTAAAAACACAATAGCCACCCACACGAACTCATTGGCCACACTGGCCATGACTTGAGTTCGGGGCTCACCCAGGAAGTGCTCACTGACTCTTTATTTTTGAAATAACCCTAAAGTGTTTTTCTGAAGGAATGGAAAATTTGGAAAAATGTTCTTCCCTTTTAAAAGTCTGATTTCTGGTTGAAAAATGGAAAATGAGACAGGAAAAAATCCAATTGGGACCTAACCATGTATTCGAACACTGTTATGGGGGGGGGGGCATAAAAAAGTAGTCAAGGGAAGTTGCATGGGAAATAAAAGGACTTTTTCAAAATTTCCAACAAAAAAATCCTTTTTTTTTTTTCTCCCAATCGATCTGACTTGGCTTTCAAGGAACATGGACAATTCAAAACACACAGGTCTGCCTGGTATCCATGGACCTTCCAAAACTCACAACAGCACTAATTCTCCCAGCCAATCTTGGGGGCCCCTTATCCACCCCCAAACTGAGCCCAGGACCCCTGTTGGATGCAGGCCCAGGGCTAAGGAAGGCTCCCCACATGTTCTGTTCTGCCTGACTCCTGTAAGTAGCCATCAAGTCCCTGCATCCCCTAGGCACAGGAAGGCTCCACACATGACCCCCTCTCCTCCGTCCCCCTCCCCCGCCCCAGTGCTGGCTGCACAACTCCCATTGGCCAGGAACTGTGAGCAGGGAAAGGTGTGGGAGAGGCACCTGCATGTGCAAGGGCTGCACACAGAATCTCCCCAGCCTGGCTGCCCATGCACCTAGGGGCCATGGGGACCTGGTGGCTTATTAGCAGGTGCAGGAAGCACCACCAGGACCTTGCACACCAAACCTCCAGCCTCAGCCCAGAGTGTCCCCCGCACCTATATTCCCTCCCAGAACCAGCCTCCCCACATAGCTCAACTCCCTGTCCCAGCCAGAAGTCTCCTCCTGCACCCCAAACCTCTCATCCCCAGCCCGAGACCAGAGCCTGCAACACCCCCACCGGTGCCCTCCCTCCTTCCACTCCTCCCCCCCAACACCAAGCCCAGCCCAGCTCAGAGCCCTCTTCCATACCCTAACCTCCTCATTTCTGGCCCCACCTGGAGCCCTTACCCCCCGTACCCAAATCCCCTGCCCCAGCCCAGAGTACCTTCCTGCAACTCAGATCCCTCATCCCTGGGTCCAGTGGTGACTGCTGGGGAGGGACACAAAGGAGACACCAGCCATGTGACCCCCACATGACTCCTCCCCACACCACCTCTGTCCTCACCTATCCCTCTGCATCTCTTCCCACCTCTGCTGGACCCCTGCTCCATGTAGGGATGTTAAATTTAGATTAATCGGCTAATCTAATAGTCAATGCAAACTGCATCGATTAGTCGATAAGGGTGCACCCACCTTTGAAGTACAGCAACAGCCTCAAGTCTGTTGCTACACTTCAAAGGCGAAATCGCTGCAGGGAGCATGGGACCAGGCAGGGACTCAAGCTGCTTTGAAATGCCACATGCAGCCTGGGGACAGCTGACTCCCCCACTGGCCCTGGGCTGCAAACAGTGTTTCAAAGCGGCAATGCTGCGTGGAGCCCAGGGTCTGGCCCCAGGCTCCATGAGGTGCTGCTGCTTTGAAGTACCCCTTCCTCTTCCCTCCCCCTCCCCTTGTTGCCTCTTTCTGATAGAGGCAGCGGCGGGAGAGGGAGAGCAACTAGTCAACTAGTGTGAGTTGACTAGTCGTTCACATCCTTAGCCCCACCCCCACTCTTCCCCCAGATCCCTGCCCCAAGCGATGCAGCCCAGGGACTAGTTGAGTGCCTGGAGCTGGCAACAGAGGTTGGACCCCCTCCGCACTCACTAGTGGCAACTGGAAGCAGAGAGACCCATCCCCAGTCCACTCCCCTCCACCCACTCCCAGCAACATCACTCTGTTTTCGGCTGCCACTAGCCCCCTTCCACACGGCTGGAACAGAGTGGGCTGGGGCCAGGTTGCTCCGCTAGCTGCTGGTGCCACTGAGTGCGAGAGCTGGCCACCATGGCATTGGGGTACATGACCCTTCATGCCTCCCCATACGTCGACCCTGCCTGGCCTGACCCCAGAGCCCACACACCCTCCACGCTCCAACCCACTGACCTAATGAGTGAGGGTGGGGGAAGGCAAGTGACAGAGGATGGAGTGAGTAGGGGGCAGGACCAGGAGTAGGAGTGGTGGGTCAGGGCCCCCATCGGACTAGGCACTGCACTGATCCATCCCACCCCCACTGAAGTCAGTGCCCCTGTCAGGCTGGGGGCTGCCCAAACACACAGGGTCAGTTTATTCCCTGCATTTTACAGACAAAGGAACTGCGCCG